TAATGTATTTAAAGTTATTGTATTACATGTACATAGGGAGCTTGAAGATGGGAGCAGTTGGGTATTAGACAATTTCCCTACTACCCTCCAGCAAGCACTAGTGAGTTAACTAACCATAACTACATGTACATTATGATCAACATAATATATGCATGTTCATGTACTGTACATGCTGTATATTTATATACATTGTATTTGTAGTTGTTGGCTAAAGGACTGACTGGTCAAGGCTTGATGAGTCTAAAGGAGCAGTCGAGTACAGCAGAACTGAGGACACACCAGTTCATATTAATACCTGAGAGAGAAGTGGAGGAGGAGGTGAGAGGGAGAGAGAGAGAGAGAGGGAAGTTTGTGAGAAATAAGGATTAATTTTGAAGTGATAAAAAGATCACCAAATACATGTAAATGTACATGTACATGTATTTTATTTGATGTATTTTTTCATTAGGAGTTGTTTAATCTACATGCTGTGTGTGGTCTTGATATTGTAGTGCACTTCAATGCATCGTCTGATAATATATTTAAGAGATCCGTCAAACCTAGTTCAGGTAATTCACATGTACATGTACATGCACATGTACATGTATACCGTAATTTGCCTTTTTTTCGTTGTGGAAATATTTTCGTATGGTCCTAAAATGACGAAAATATTTCAATCGAAAATTTTTGAGCAACTAAAATTTTTGACCTAATTCATCAATGAAAGACTAAGGTACGGCCTGATAAGTAGGTATCTTCTTGTAGCTCTAACCTTGCTCTATCCACTGGTGCTTGCTGTACTTCAATCAGTTGCTTCACTACTGAATTATAAAATAAAACGGTCCACCATGTAACAAAAGTAGCCATTTAATTTTTCCGTTTATTATCCGTAAATTGGTCATTGCTGCATCTCCAGTACTATCCGTATACTAGTAATGTTGGGGGGAACAGCCAGGTCAAGAATCTCTTATCTCAAGAATTATAAACACTACTATAGCGGCCTTGTTACCAGTAGGTAAAGGACAAGGTATATGCAAGAGAAGCTAAATTTTCAGACTGTACAAATTTTTGTACACTATGAGAAGACGAAAATATTTCCACTTGAATTTTTCTGAAACAAAAAATTTTTGTACGAAAAAAAGGCAAATTACGGTACATGTACACATAATACATGTAATACTTTCTCTCTCTTTCTTGATAGATAATGTTGCAAGAGCTGATATTCAACAGTGGTATGTAAAAATGTGGAACGTGTACTAATATTTTTGATTTATTTCTCTTTCATGTTCTTTCTTCTTTAGTTTGCTCTCCTTTGATTCAAACTGGCCTCAGATAAAGAAATGGTATAATCGCTTTAGGACTATTCATAACATTGACTCCAATAAGAGCTTCAGTAAATTATATAAATACAATCATGTATATGCATGTATGTGTATGATGCATGTTACATGTACTGTACATGTGAAGTTGTGAACATTATATATTACATGTACATGTATTTCATGCATGTACATGTGAACATAATGTAATGTGATTGTATCTCTTTCTTTTCCATT